ATTCCAACAGATTAGTAGACGTTGACCGACCTTTAAAAAAACCATGTTGATTATTTGAAATGCGATGCTTAACCTGGTTAAATATTTTCTGGTTAACAATTGCTTCAAACATTTTAGGAATGCATGACATAATTGCAATACCTCTATAGTTTTTAATATCTGACCGTTTGCCAGATTTAAATATTGGAACTAAAAATGATTTCTTCCAAATTTTTGGAAAATCACCTGTTTTGAGAGATAAATTGTAAAGCCAAAACAATGGTTTAACAAAACTTGTTGCTATTTTTTTCAATAAAAATGGAGGTATTTCATCAGGACCAGGTCCTTTGCCAGCATCGAGACTTTCAAAAGTCATAAAAATTTCTTTAACAGTGATATTTTTAACTGATACGTCATTTTCCCCTTCATGTAGGTAAGAAAAATAGTTCAAATCGAGAGCATTACTGGATTTCTTATATGTGTTTTGGAAAAAAACGAGCAAATAGGTTACAAATATTCTCACTATCAGTGCTATCACACTCTTCAAACTGCATGCGTGATGGGAATGTACATGACTTCATTTTTTCGTTCGCAAAGTTAAAGAACGTTTTGGGATCTGATTTTATATTTTTCTCTACTCTTGAATTGTAATTCTCATATGCTGACGATATTTCTGCCTCAAGTGCTCCGCAAATTTCAACGTATTTTTCTAAATTTTGTGACGTTTTAAACTTTTTATACGCCTTGTGTGCTTTTTGCTTCCTGTTTTTAATATTTCTGATTTCTTGTGTATACCACACAGGATATTTGGTGCTGTTCACTATTCTCTTTTGTCTTTTAGGAACGAATTCTTCAATAATATTGTATAAGTTAGTATAAAATATGTCAACAGCCTTGTCCATGTTGTTTTCATCTTTTAAAAGGTTTTGCCAACTTATGTTATTCAGTCTGTTGTTAAATTCAGGAACATTTGCATTTTTAAAATCATAAACTAATTCAAAATCAACAACGCTTGGGCGTGACCGATACGAGTCTGTGAACACTGAGTATTCAATAGCCGTATGAAATTTTTCATTCTTCCATAATGGAACTGCTGCTTCTACAATACAAAAATCTTCTGTACAATTAGTAAACATAAGATCCAAATAGGAATTGAGCTGGTTACGAACATGGTTAATTTGATGAAGTCCCAAGTGGCTGCTTTTATCAAAGATGAATTGCAAAGTATCGTTTTCTCCTACAATTGGTAACAACAGAGAATCATTATCACTATCCTGTATAAAATTAACAGTATTCTGGTTAAAATCTCCATAAATATGAATTTTGGTTCTTGGATCTTCTCTTTGAATTTTCAGTTCTGCAGCAGTGAAAAACTTTTCGTAAGCTGGTTTTTTGGAAAAGTGTGGAGGAAAGTAGACAGAAGCGAAAAGATGTTCTTCGCCGTTTATTAAAATTTTAACCCACACATCTTCAAATTCTTTTTGGCTTTCACTAACAATTTGTTCAGCTTGAAATGTAGCATTCACAGCAATAAGTACACCACCACCTGATTTTTTACCTGATAATGATAAATCGCGGTCACATCGAAAAACACAATATTTACTACCAAAGACCTCTTCGCTATTAATGCTATCAGACCAACTAGTTTCTGTTCCAATTATTATATCATATGTGCATCCGCTTATTTTATTTTGAATTTCATTTATTTTATACGCACTACGCATACGGTTAAAATTTTGGCAATAGACTGTAGTTTCACTTAAAAAAGAGCTACTTGATAAACTAGCGACATGGTCACTTACGTCGTGCTGGTCAGGGGGTGAAGTGGCTGCATCCTGTCCGAAATCCCTCAAGTTATGTGACATGCCATGATCCTCGGGCTCAGCTATGTTGTCATATTCTACCTCAGGTGAGTGCGTCAGTGGTGCCGAAAACACGCATGTCTACATGTGCACGGCTGACACGATGTAGAGGAAGAATTCCCCGGAGCCATACCATGTGAATTCTGAAGACCGCTTACTGGGTACGTATAACATTTTCACTTCGGACCTCCCTGATTTGCCTCAGGGTTGCCACAAATCTTTGTTCGCTGATGACACAGGCATTTCCGCTAAAGGAAGAAGTCATCGTGTTATTTGCAGCAGACTGCAGAAAAGGTTAGATATTTTCTCTTCTTATTTACAAAAATGGAAGATTTCTTTCAACGCTTCCAAAACTCAACTTATAATATTTGCACATAAGCCTAGAGCTTCTTTTTTGAAACCTAGTAGTAGTCACATAGTCACTATGAACGGAGTTCCAATTTCCTGGTCAAACCAAGTGAAATATCTTGGATTATTACCTGACCAAAAATTAACTTTTAAAGATCACATAGAGGTCATTCAAGCCAAATGTAATAAATATATAAAATGTTTGTATCCTCTTATAAACAGGAAATCCAATATTTAAACAAGTTTTTAGACCGAATCTAATATTTAAACAAGTTTTTAGACCGACCATGCTTTACGCTGTGCCAATATGGTCTAGTTGTTGCACTACCAGGAAAAAAGCACTTCAAAGGATTCAGAACAAAGTTCTGAAAATGATTTTGAAGTTGCCTTCCTGGTATAGTACTACCGAAGTACATAGAATTTCGAATGTTGAGACTTTAGAACAAATGTCCAACAAAATAATTAATAATTTCAGGCAAAAATCGTTGCAATCCTCCTGCAACGGCGTATCTTAAAATGGATTTTATTTTTTTCCAAAAAAATCAATTTTCATTTGACGTTTCAGAGAAAATTGCAATGTGGTGATTACATTGTGTTGTTGTTTCTTTGCACAGTATCTCACAACTCCCGACAGCCGTGATCGTCTAGTGGTCAGGACCCTACGTTGTGGCCGTAGTAACCCAGGTTCGAATCCTGGTCACGGCAATGATTGACATTGTCACGGAGGGAGCTTTTTAGGATGATAGTAGAACATAATTTCACAACATGGCATGATACGAATGAGAGTCATTGAAAGACATTTTCCGAAATAATTTGACACAATAGATGATCTGAAAGAGCTGTTTATCATGTTCCTACAATCTACTTTACCGTTATACCGAAAATAATGTTAGGAAACGAATTTCGCAACATGACACAATAGACGGGCTATAAATAGAAATGGTCGGATATGTTAATGACTTTCATTACTATAATTGCAATTTAAATCACATTAATTACGTGGCTGAATTACATATCATATTTTAATTACTGTAATTATATCAACTCAGTGTTAATTACACGATTTCAAATTTAATTACTAAACAAATCAATTATTTTTTTTGTCACGTAATTACTATGCTCAAAACCTTGGGCTTTTAAATCCAACGCAGTCGAGAAGGGCATTTATATTGTAGATGAAATTTACTGTTGCAATTTTAGGTGAAATTGAATGATTTTGAAAACTTCAAGGGATAAATAGTAATAGTAACGCACTAAGTACAATTTAACCCCAACTGATTGTAAATTGTTTGTTTTCGTAGCGATGGAGAATTGAATTTCACAATCTGTCGCAACCAGTGAGGTAAAAATATTACACAGCCTAACCTCACTCGCTCATCGAACGAATGCATATGGTGAAATACAGTTGGTTTTGAACTTGTATGTACACTGGGTTTGTTTTCATTTGACGTTATAAAGAAAATTGCATTGTGACGTTCACGTTGCCGTGATCGTCTAGTGGTCAGGACCCTACGTTGTGGCCGTAGTAAACCAGGTTCGAATCATGGTCACGGCAATGATTATCATTGTCAGTTTCAACTTTTTTTTAGATCCTTAAACCTCTTCTTAGTGTAACAATATGCTTTTACTTATCAACAATAATGGTACCATCGTTATAAAGTAAACTAAATTTGGCTCTACAATGAGCGGAGAACGGGCACCACGTGGTTAATATTGTGATCCCGTGTATCCAAAGGTGCTGACAGTAAAGCCAGGTATCTTAAAAACTTCTTATACCTAGCCATTACCATTTCTATGAAGCCTCAGAAGTTCTTGCCGACACAATAGCTTTAAAATTGTCCATTTATGGCTTTCCGATGGAGACGCATTATAGGTGACGCGATATTTGGGTAGGTATCTCAATGTTTGTTCACACTCACGATTCGCACAACTCGGTCGATTAATTAATAATTCAATTAGTTAATTTCGCCTTCGATAATGGAGCACTCGACTCGATTCCCCTTTCACCGAATATTTGCCCCGAAGCGTGGATACATATGTAGAACCACGCGTCCGTACGACGCGTAATCAGGAACATTTGGGCAACCGGACAAAACCATCTATAGAGCAAATGACGTCGTTGCAGCTATAAACTCATGTATATTATATCACATGGCCACGCACTGCATCCCGGCCAGATCCAACTGCCCTGGAATCCAGGTCGCGTCGATGCGAAATCGTTTTTAATCAAATTGCTCACACCATTAAATATGCATGCCATATCACGACCAATCTTCTGTTTCGTTAAATGAATCATGTTTATTTGTACCAGCCGGGCGACTAGCTAGGCGAGAGGGGCTGTGATTTTTTTTTCGCTACAGAATTGTATCCGACCGTTCATTTATTATTCAAAATAATTTAACATGAGTGTAGAGAGCCAATGTAGAGGTGCATTTTGAAAGCAAATTCCAGCAATTATCGTTTTGGTGGGTTGGCTTGGTTTTATTTTATGGAAATTACATTTTCACAGCTTCTGGCTGCTGTGCGGTTTGATGTCAATTGCTTTATATTTATTGCTAATGGACACACATGATTTGATGTTCCGATATTCCAAGGCTGAGTTCTGTTGGATTATCTTCATATTTACCTATTAGTTCTAGATTGTCTTCGACCGTTGTCTTGCCATGCTTACTTACTCACGTATCCTGCGCGCCTCCAGTGGATCATTATGATCATAGGATCCTTTCAATGATCCGGTGGTAGCACTAATACTCGCTTATCGTCAGAATAGAAACTGAAAAGAATTTCTTTCATGAATAAAACATTGTGATATACTATTTCTCCCATATATATTTACTTGAATTCTCGATATATACAGTGACTTCATATCATGTTTGCAGATAAAGCTAGTTCATACAACTGAAATTATCTCATTACGTAGGAAATACATTAACTTAACGTTAATCGAATCCACTATAAAACAACGTCGGACTTACAAGAGCTCTCAATCATCCAGGATCTTCATACGAACCGGCCTCCCGCCGATCCGTCTGTTCTGGTGCGTCTGCATAGCCCGCTGCGCATTCACTCCACTCTGGAACCGTACCATGGCATCACCGGTTGGGCGCCCATCCGGCAGGTACCTTCGCTTGACGTCCTCTAAGGTGATGTTGTACTCGCGGAAATAGTTGACCAGTTCTTCATTCCTCGCCCGAAACGGCAAATTGTTCAGGCAAACAATGTTTCCTCGCATCGGTTCCGGATGCTGGTCCTGATGCATATCGTTAAGATCGGGGGCTTCGTCCTCTGGTATGTGAACGTCTTCTTGTTGGTGCAGTTGTTCTTGCTGTTGTTGTTCCTTTGACTGTTGTTCATGGGCTTCGTCAGGTTGATCGGGAACTTCGATGATTTCGCAAGAGTCCGTGTCATCCATGATGGGTTGCTTCACCGGTGGATCATCATCTTCAGGACCTTGCTGGAATACGCCTTCGCCTATTGGCTCTTTAGCTTCAGCTTCATCCATGAGGTCATCGTTTCCCGTCAAATCTTCAATATGTTGATCAGTGTTAGTTTCAGGATTCGGAACATTGATCTTTTCCGAAATTTTCTGCTGATCTTCATGTTCGTCATGGTCATCATGATCGCTATGATCAATATGATCTTTATCGTGCTCATCATATTCATCATGAGGTTCATCGTCCTCCCGTTTTTCCTCATCCAAGTGTTGGTTATCAGAATCATCCTGATAGCTGCTTCCTTGATAGTAATCTCCACCAAAGTTTCTGGTTTTAGTCGAGAACCGATTGTCATTTCCTTGTGACTTTCTGTTATCATCGTTGTCATCATAGTTGTTTCCACCATAAATGTTCTTATTACCGTTGTCATTATTTCCAAAGTTGTTTCCTCTGCCCAAGTTGCTGCTATTACCATCGAAATTGTTATCTCCACCGAAACTGCCGTTACCGCCCATACTGTTGTTACCGCCGAATTGGCCTCCTCGCTGGGAATTCTGCCCGGGACCGTTTTGGTTGATCCGTTGCATCATGTCAAGGATTTGATTTCTATTCAAATGTTTGATGAACGCTTTCCGCTTCCCGATGATGCAGGTATTCTTCGACAGCGTGTCTCCGGCTTCCAGCGGCGACCCAAACTCCACCAGACACTCGCCGCTTGAACGACCATACGGGTTTCGAATGATATGAATGTGCTTCGGGTTGAATCCTGCGTGCTCAAAGAACTCCTGTATCCTGGACTCCTGCAAGTTATATTCCAAGTTGGTGATCATAATGAAGGTTGTCTTATCGTTGCCACCCGCATTGTTCCTATCCATTTGCTGATCGAATCGATTACTACCAAATTGACTTCCTGGATTGTTGGACATTTGCGACTGCTGTTGCTGTTGATATCGGTTATTACCCACTGGGCCTCCCTGACGGTTGTCCATTTGCTGGTCATACCGATTGTTACCCTGACTGTTGCCCATTTGCTGTTCGTAGCGATTGTTACCCATTGGGCCTCCCAGACTATTGCCCATTTGCTGGTCGTAACGATTGTTGCCGAATGAACCGCTTTGTTGTTGATCATAGCGATTGCTACCACCCATCGGACCCATTTGCTGGCCATACAGATTATTGTCGATGGACTGTGATGGTGGTCCTTGAGAATTGAAGCGTGATTGTGAGCCGAAACTGTCACGACTACTGTCACCCTGGAAGTTACTTTGATCAAACCCGGCCATCTTTTGGCCCATAGCGTCTTGCCGCCGGCGAGGATCACGATTGATGTCTCCTCCAAATCCAAGATTTAGTTGAGATGCGTGTTTTTGTTGTTGTTGTTGTTGTTGTTGTTGTTGTTGTTGCTGACTGAAGTTTTGACTGAACATATTCCTCGGATCGCGATTCATCGGAGGTGTCTGCTGTGGTTGTTCACGTTCCCAACTGTCACCACCTAACTTGTAACTTGAAGGGGATTCCCGGCTAAAGGGAGGCCCGTCATTAAGTTGCCGTTGTTGTGATTCATTGTTCAATCCTCCTCTCATTCCGAGTTGGAAGTTGGACGGAGGTGGCGTATTGACTTTCATCTGATTTAGAAGAGGTGGTTCATGCAGTTGTATATTAAGTTGTCCTATTTCGTCTTCATCTTCAGCCAAATCCATCTTATCGTCATCTACAGCTTCGTTTTTCTTGGATGCCTTCGAAGACAATACAGCCTCCTGAGCGGAATCATCCAGCACAACAGTCACCGGCTCCGATTCCTGCGGCGCTTCATACTCATTCTTTGCGGCATCATACTCAATCTCCGTGCACTGCTTCACAAACACTCGCTTGTTCCGGACATAGTGCTTATGGACACTATCACACGCCCTTCGAGCATCTTCCCATCGGTGAAATTTCACATAGCCATCCAACTGCTTCGGATTCTTGTAGTTCTTTATGATCAACACCTCAACAACACTAAAATCGGAGAAGATCTTCATCAAATCCAACTCCGTTGTCATAGTAGGAAGATTCCAAATCACAACCGTTCCAGACTTGTTATCTTGTTTATATGAATCATCTCGGATTTCAATCACCTCTTCCTTCTTACTGTCCTTCCTATCCAAGCTAACTTCCTTCCAGTTACTCTGAGCATCATCAAAACCCGGACGGTACGAATCAACTGCATCATCAAACTCTTGATCCGCTATCGATTCGATCTTGACAACTGAATTCTTCAATCGCATGCCATCCCGCGAAAGCGCATATCGTTTGCCATCCTTCCGCAAGAACCTCACCAGTGCCACTCCAGTGCGCCTTCCATTCTGGTCGTTGATCATCTTAATTCCATTACTCGAAATTGTCTGCCCGTGGAAGAACCTTCGAACTTCACCGTACCCAGTGATCGTCTCCAGATGGGACATCTTCACCGACTGCCCTTCAATATCATCGTACATGGATCTATCCACCTTCTCCTCCATACTTTGATTCCGCTTGTTCATTCCACCATCCGTTTGATAACCATCAGTCGGTCGTTTTCCACCACCATCTCTTCGCGACAAACTATCATATCCACCTTGATTATTTCTAGCATGAGCCTTGCTTTCTCCATCCGAGAAGTGTCCTCCCTGTCTATTTCCAACCGGATTACTTTCTTGGTAGACCATCGGATCCCGCCGAACTTGCAACTGCTGCAACTTACTCAACTGTTCATTGCTGAGCGGCTTTGACGACTGGAATGACCCGTAGTTGACCGATGGTAACACATTCATTCGATAGCTTGCTGCTATTGGATTAGGAAGCACATTGTTCTGCTGATGCTCGTTCCGACCACCAAACCCATCTCCAGAAGTCAAATTAGGTGCAGAACCCATCGTCGTAGGGGCAGCGTTCTGTTGCATTGGCTTATCCAACCCCACGTTAGCCAACTTCATCAAATTCTGCTGAATCGGTGTATCCCACGGACTGACGAATGTCGTTGGTTGTGGTGGTGTTGGTGTCGGGCTCGGAGTCGGAACTACCACCACCTCCGCTACTGCAGCTGCCTTAGCTTCAGCACGATCACTGAACCGAGAAACTCTCTGCTTAGAAAGTTTATCAGCCGCCTTTTGATCCCGCTCCCTGCTCTTCTCCCGTGGCCTATCATCACGTCTATCCCGTGAACGTGATCGACGCCTACGATCCCGGCGCTCACGGCTACGACTTCTGCTCCTCCGATCACGGCTACGATCCCTTCCACGACGTCTACTGCCACGATCACGGCTTCTTGATCGCGAACGACGTCTGTCCCGTTCACGAGAACTGGATCTACTTCTACGACTACTTCTCTCTCCCGAATCCTTCTTCGACGTACTAGTCGTAGTGCTCGAAGAAGAAATCGGTACCTTGGCGGTTGAGCCCATAGTCTTCTCCGCTTCGCCAACCTTTTTCAACTGCTCAGACAACTGTGTAAATGCAGCATTCGAAGCCGCTCCAGTATTGCTGTAGGTTTGGGCACTAAGTGCCGAGAACAAACCAGCCGCCGGAGCATTCGGTTGAAACATTCCTCCACCGGTGGCCAGGAACCCCAATCCCGGAATTTCCGAGTAGATCGATTGAGCTTTCTGCTGGTTTAGATTTTGTGCCAAGAAACCGGACAGGCTGATAACAGGAGGTTGCGGTTGATGTGCAACCGTAACCGCAGGAGTCGTAACTTTAGGAACTACCGGAACTTGCTGTTGCATTTGTTGAGCACCTTGAGCGGAAAGCTGCATGAAAGACATTGTAGTGCGACGTGCATCTTCGATGACCTTTTGCATTTCGGCACGCGAGGACAGAAGCAGTGAAACCTGAACTTCTTTGATTTTACCTCCATTCAGCATCATTGCCTGGCGGGCATCTTCGTCGGTGCTGTTGTTTGGGAAATAGGGGAAAAACGAAAATTGCTTATAAACCAAATCCTAGAAAGCATCATAAAACATTGCATCGCAGATCCTCTCCGTACGTATATTGCAGTCAAAACAACCTAGAAACTTTGTCGACCTATTCATATGCAATAACCCCCAAAGACGTGTAAGCTACCCCTCACCTAAGACGTCCAGCACATTTTCAGGAAACAGAGATAATCCCGAGGATAATCCCACCTATATAATACACTCACCCACTATTTCCACCAAACTGGGAACCTAGATTTTTGCAAAAAAAAAAATCTGGCACCCCGTTAAAATGCTCAAGTCTTTGCAGAACGTTTGCGTTTCACTAATAATAAACATCTTTTAGCTGAGCAGTATAAATTTCAAAGCCAGCCGTTGCTGCAACACATCTAAATCTGAATCCTAGATAATCAAAAAATCTTGAGCGAGTAAATCAATCTACGAAAAATCTACTTTTGTTTTTCGTATCTGCTTGCATCGCGATACATCTTTTGGCAGGAAGTATTCAAAATCTTCAAAAACTCGTTTTTCTTTTATCGTGCATGCAGCTCAGTACACCGAGACCATTTTATCTGAGAAAGGACGTGCTGTCAAATCAGCGTACAGATCATTCTTGGCTTGTTTACATTTGGAACCAGTTATACGAGGCAGGCGACGATTGTTGGTATTTGACAGCCACATCCCACCGCTGTATTTTAAACGGAATATGAGGAAATACCACAGACAAACAGAGTAACGTCAAACGTTACTATGGTGGTAATACCAACAATCAATACGAAACTAACGATTTTAAATTGGCTCACCACTTTAATAGCCTATTGGTCCCAAGCAAACGATTAACGTACCCTATTCTAGTTGAAATTCTATTACTACACTATGTTTGTTTTGATTCGCTATGAAAGTTTGACAGATAACATCAGGGGTGTGTGGATTCATGCAGAACATGCAGGGGTGAGTGAAATAGCTTGGGACTGCTTGGGACCGTTGTTCTGGTACTGAGTGTGCCAAAAATAATAATGATTTTCTTCGGGACCCAGTGGTCTTAGAGTTACCTCTATGGTAATACCAACTACGATACTTTTAATTTGGCCGTTAAATGCTTGTTCCCGTACTTGCTTTTCTGATTTTCCTGTAAGTTGCTGTAAGACAAAAATACAGGAATCCCCGATTTGCACGGTGGGTGTTGCCGTCTACCCACCGCCATTTCCAGGGCTGTTACAAGATTTTCTAAATATGAACTGCGAAATCCGCGATTTCTCAAAAGAAATCCACGATTTCAAATACTAATCCGCGAAAAAAAAAAACTATTTTCATTGCCTAAAAATACCATTTGTATACTACTACATGGCATTTCAAGCTTATTGCTTATATCATATTAGATTTTTACCTGCTCTTTACTTAGTGTTCTTTGAAGTACTTTCACATTTTAATTGAGAGCTTTCTATGCCTGTACCATCCTATGCCCAAGGAAATAGAGATATTTTCCAACCCGAAAAATTAATAGACCGGAAGGGAATCGAACTCAGTCACCTCCAGCACTTGCTTTGTAGCTACGCCTTTACCGACTGAGCTAAAGGAGATTCGTTTGTAAGCTTTGAAAAGAAACAATGTATCATCTTCAGTTATTTATGTATAGTTTAGATTCTGAGCAATTAGTGAACATAATAAAACAACCTTACATTATGAGATTTTATTGAATAATACCGGCCTCTGATGTATTTTGCTGTCCTAAATGTTGTAGTTAATTTGGCTCTAGTTTACTCAATTTTCTACCGATTCAAACCAAACACCCTGCACATAATTGAGAAAATACCAGAGTTTCATAAGTCCCACTTGATGGTCACATTACGGCTTTGCATTTACACGGATATTCCTTGGGGTCTGTCCAATGGTGAGACATTTTCATGATATTTTTTTATTTTTAATATGAACCCTTTCGATGTCAAATCATAACCGAATCGTATATAGGGTGGGTGAGCCAGTAGTGGAGGTACTAAGCCAATTTATCAATTAAAAAATAAATATACGATGTACACACAATTGCTATACGTCAATCTATAGCTTTCAACCTCTATTTTGGTAGAGAAATATTACATTGTAATAAAATTGCATAAAATTTTAGAAAGATCGAACACTGTTCCAGTAGATGTGGTAGTTGCTTACTTTGGTTCCTATAATAGTGGAATGCGTTGGTTTCTTATGGGTTCCACTATTATAGGAACACTACCGCAACTATAGGTGCAAAGGAGTGTAAATCCATTTTAAGTTTGAAATATGCAAATATGCTTTATTTTAGGAGAGCTACCGATGAAAAATATTCTTATCCGGATCCTCCTCACTATTCCGGCACAACCTCCATACCGCAACTTTAGGTACACCACTATTACCGAAACACCTACTCTATGTGACTTTTAGTATCATGCACGACTTATTACTATGTATACAGGAAATTATAGGTTTTCCAAATCGTTCAGGTTATAATTGATTTGTTCTACTAGATCAACCAAGACATTATCGAAAGTATCGAAAAATGTCCAATCAGATTCAAAGTGTCTACGTGGATCATTTCGTGATCTATTTCCGAGTAATCCAGATGTTGTAGGTTCTTCAAATCGTCCTGGAGTTCAGATAATTTAATCTACTAGATCAACCGAGATTGGGACAATGTCTTTAGTATCGAAATATTTCCAGACAGATGCGCAGTGTCTATGTGGATCATTCATGAACTATTGCTATGTATACCAGATGTTTTAGGATCTCTAAATCATTCTGGAGTTCAGATGATTTATTCTACTAGATCAACCATGACTGAAATAAAGTCTGTGGTATCGAAATATGTCCAAACAGATTCATAATGTCTATATGGATAAAATGTATGATTTATTTCCACGTATACCAGATGATCTAGTTTCTTCAAATCGTCCTGCAGTTCAGATGATTTGTTTTAATAGATCAACAAAGACTGTGATAATATCTGTAGTATCGAAATATCGATTTGGAAATCTTAGAACATTTGGCATGCACGGAAATAAAGGGTGTCCACGATGAAATTGCCACACTATGAAATTGCTCTAACTTTTTAACCGTTGGGTAGAATTTAATGAAAATTTGGGTGGATTTAGTTCATAGTGCATTATTTACATCCTGCAAGTTTTAAAGTCCTGTGATCAAAACTCGCGGAAATGGAGTCGAAAGAACAGCTCGTGCGTGATAAAATCTTGCGCATTTATCACGAGAACAAGGATCTCTCGCATCGTTCCATCGCTAAAACGTTGGGAATCGCGAATTCCACGGTGTCGCGAGTGATTAAGCGGTTCGAGGAACGGTTGACCACCGATCGGAAGCCCAGAAGTGAAGGAAAAAGTATTCCGTACAACACCAAAAATCACAACCGCGTAGTTGGGGCCTTCAACCGAAATCCGAACGCCTCCGTTAGGGATGTGGCTAAGAAGCTGCACCTAAGCCGAAGTTTTGTCCAGAAGGCCAAAACTAAGGCTGGGCTTCGAACGTTCAAGGTACAAAAGGCCTCTAATCGCAACGAGAAGCAGAACAAGTCCGCCAAAACCCGTGCCAGGAAGTTGTACCTCAACATGCTGACGAAAGTTGAATGCTGCATCATGGACGACGAAACATATGTGAAGGCCGACTTCAAACAGATCCCCGGCAACCTGTTTTTCACGGCCAAGGATAAGTTCAGCGTTCCGGAGCATGTCCGCACTCAGAAGATGTCCAAATTTGCGAAGAAATTCCTGGTTTGGCAAGCCATCTGCACGTGCGGGAAGCGGAGTGCACCTTTCGTGACCCAGGACACGATGAACGGACAGGTGTACATAAAAGAGTGCCTCCAGAAGCGGCTGCTTCCTCTCCTGAAGGCCCACAACGTCCCAACAATCTTCTGGCCGGATTTGGCCTCATGCCACTACTCCAAGGACGTGCTGAAGTGGTATGCGGACAATAAGGTCAATTTCGTGCCGAAAATGTTCAACCCTCCCAACACTCCGGAGCTCCGCCCCATCGAGAAGTACTGGGCGATTATGAAGCAGCACCTTCTTAAACGACCTAAGGTAGTGAAGACAGTCGAGGAACTGAAGAAAGTATGGGTTTACATGCAAAAAACGGTTGATTCACAGGTTGTGCAGAATCTTATGGCCGGGGTTAAGGCCAAGGTGCGGGCATTTGCGTATGGACTGTAAATAAAATACGAGTAAAACGGTAAAATGAAGTTTAATAGTTATTTCTCAATCCCTGAAAATTTGATGGCAATCGGATGAAAACTCGAATTTTTCGAATCAATTTTGTGTGTGGCAATTTCATCGTGGACACCCTTTAGATTGGCATGATGCACATAGACACTGCAAATTTGTTTGGACATATTTCGATACTACAGATATTGAATTAGTTTTGGGTGATCTAGTAGAAAAATAATCTGATCTCCAGAATGATTTCAAAACCTATAACATCATGTATACGTTCAATAGGTCGAGCACGATCCACATAGACACTTTGAATTCTGTTTGAACATATTTCGATACTACAGACATTATTGCAGTCTTGGTTGATATAGTAGAACAAATCAACTGAACTCCAGGACGATTTGGAGAACCTAGAATATCCGGTATACATGGCAATTACTCGCATGTATACGATTCGTTTATGATTTGACAACGAAAAGTGCTATGTTCATATTGGAAATAAAAAAAAAAAAAAAAAAAAAAATGAAAATGTCTCACGTTGGACAGACCCCAGGGATTTTTCCGTATAAATCCGGTGTGACTTATGGAATTGAGATCATTTCTCGATTATTTGCAGGGTGTTTGGTTTAATCCAGGACGGAAAGGTTACAATGAATTCCACAATTTTTGTGACAGCACATCAGTCCCTTCGCGATTTTCGCGACATCATTTAATTTTACCGAGATTTTCGCGACTGAAAGTTCAAATCCGCGACAAATCCGCGAAATTCGTGCCTGTTGTAACA